ACAGAGCCCACAGAGGGAAAGCAGGGCGCCTGGCCCGAGCCCCTTCACCCTACACGCCTGTGAGCCTGGGGCAGGTCAGCACCACCTGCCCAGGAGCCCAGCCAGGTGCACAATCAGGACCCAACCCTTTGGACAAGGAAGGGTTTACTGTCCCCAAATAGGGGCCCCACCACCTCGGGGGCCGGCCCCACAAACACAGAGAGGCACAGAAACAGATACACCATCAAAAAACACACACACAACACAAGGAGAGACTCACACACGAAACAGACACATGCAGATGCACACACATCCCCACAGATACCCACAGATACACTCTTGGGAGGCAAACACACAGTCACTTTCCACACACGGGAGGAAGGCACCCCAGCTGCTGCCACCCCTCTTCTCAGACCTGCAGGGTCGCCAGGGTCAGGAGGTTCTGGGGAGTAGCCCAGAGTGGTGGGGATCACCTGCTGACCAAGGTGGCCCCAGCAGGTCTGCAGAGAAGGGGCCTGGAGGGACATCTGCGGGGGGAAGGTGACCCGCCACCCTGTCCCTTGGGCTCCTGAGAGAGGCTGGGGGTCCTGGGAGGTCCAACAGAGCCATTGCCACCCACAGGGGCCCCCAATAGCTCCCACATGTGCCTCAGAGACCTAGGAATGGTATAGGCCAGAGGAGTAGTGAGAGGGACCCCACGGTGGCCAGAGAGGCCACCATCCTACGGTCCTGCCCCTGCCCCATCCCAGCAGAGAGGAGCCACAGGAGACTGGGGGGTCGGGGGGGCAGCTCTAGTCTGTGCACTGAGGCCCAGTGTCTTGAACTTGAAAGCAGGAAGCAGGTGTGGGTGTCACATGTCCCTCCGGGTTGAATGGACACAGCGGGACATTCTCTCCACTTGGCTCCCTCCCCAGGGCCTGGGACCACCCGAGCTGGTATCAGCATAACAGGCAGCCCAGGCGCACGCCTGGCCTGAGGACAGAGCGGCAGAGAGGGAGGCTCCCAAGACCAGCTGGTATGTCTGCTTGCTGCACAGAGCAGAAGGCCTGCCCAGCACTTGGAGCGTCCTTGCCCCGACCAGAGCCCCAAAGTTCTGGGGAGGCCCCCATTGTAGGAGGACGTACCAGGTCTCCCAGGCAGCTGGCCCTTCCCAGTGTGGCCAGTTCAGCAGATTCTGGGGCTTTGACTTGACTAGATGGCTACATCTGAACATTAACTGGAGCCAGAACCTTTAAGTCTGGGTGCCCATCTACCTCCACAGGGGGGCCTTTCTCGGGGGCAGCACATCGCAGAAGGGAAGCTGAGGCCCAGGGAGGCCATGGGACCTCCAGGAGAACCTGGTCCCCTGACCCTGGATCCCGGGCAAGTTGTCGGGGCTTATTCTGCCTCCAAGGGGCTTACCCTAGACCTGCCTGCAGCCGGTCCTGTCTGGGCTCGCCCTGGAGCACTGGGCCAGGACAGGTCATCGGCCCACACCTCCCTTTGAGTCAGCACCTCTCTTATCCTTTGGACCTATACTGCCGGGCCGCTCACCTGCTGAAATGCCGCACGGGAAGAGCCAAGGCTCTTTGCATAGAAATCAGGCAGAGGGACCCTGGCTCTGTCACCCCTGCGGGGGCTCCAGTCTAACCTGCCTGCCCTGTGCTCTGTCCGGACAATGACTCAGTTACACACCCCTCTGCCTGGTGGAGCGACACCCACTGGCCCAGCTGGTCCTGCGGACTGGACACCCCGTCTGCATCCATCCCATCCTCTGAATCTACCTCCAGGCCCTTCGGTGTCACACCTGCCCCTTGAGCCAGGAAACTGCCCACTGGGGATCCACCTGCCCATGGCCCTCAGCCCAAAGAGGAGCAGCCAGGGAGGATGGAAGGAGCGGGGTCCCGGCCCTGGGAGGCTGGGAAGCAGAGAAGGGACTCACCGGGCACCGCAGGGAAGCCGCACAGCGGGCTGTGGTGCGGCCACAGGACTGCCCGCCTGCCTTCGGACCCAGCGAGCTGAGTGGAGACAAAGGCCCACTGTGTGGGTGGGAGGCAGGAGGCGGGAGCTGGCCTGGTCCCAGCGCTGCGTTGGGACCCAGGACCCTCCCGCCAGCTGTGGTGCAGCAGAGCAGCCAGGGGGTGCAGAAGAGCACTCGGGGTGGGGGCCAGGGTCAGGACAGGGCCACACAGGGCTCCTCTCTTCTGGCTGACCCGCTCCACTCTGGGGTGCTGGGGACTTGGGGTTGGGGGGTCACAGTTGCCCTCAGGCCTCCTGCAGAGATGCCTCAAACTACATAACACTCCGTGACCCTTTCCCTTGGCCTCCGGGATGTAACCTCTTGGGCCCTCACTGGGCTCCAGCCCATGTCTGTTGCTCGGGGGCCCGGCTCCCACCAGGCAGGCCCGCATCCCATCCCTCCCACCCCCTCCCCAGCACCAGCCGCCTCCCAGAGCCCCTCCTGCCAGCTGGCCCCATTCACCCTCACCACTCCCCCACTGCTATCTCCAAGGTGGCTTCATGGATGGCCACTGCATGGGTGACCGCTGCCCAGGTGACCGCTGCCTGGGCTAGAACTCAGGGAGAGTGCTGTCAGGGTCCTGAGGGGCCAGCCTCCTCAGGGCCCCGCCCCCTCCTTTTCCTGCCCCTCCCTCCATTCGAGGGAGAAATGGGCTCTGGGAAAATTAAGACATCCTGTGATGTCCACATGGAGATGACAACCCTGCTGTGTCCCTTCAGGTCCTCAGGGCCTGAGGGGATTTACAAGGCCACAAGGTGGAGAGGAGGGGGTGGGCCACCATCCTACTTGATGGCCGCCAGCCCCTCACCACCCAGCACAGGCACGGCCCCAGGAAGACTGCCGCCCATTCTGTGAGGCTTCTGGGACGGGCACCTGTCACCTCTGCCCGCTCCCGTGAGCCCCAGGGCCATCCCCCACTCCCCCTAAGACAAGCACATGCCCTCTGGCCGCAGGCAGCCCCTCACCTGCCCCCAAAAGGAGGTTTAGGCAGAGTTTGCTCTGAGCTCACTAGCTGCACAGGATGCCAGTATATTCGGCCTTTTGGGTGGGTGGACTGGTCATTTCTGAGTTCTTATTACAGACCACAAGCACTTTACATGGTAATAAATACCCCAAAGTTTCCCTCCAAAACCGTTCCAGTACATATTCCTGCCAACCCCAAAGGCACAAGCAAACGCCATGGAATTTCTATGGAGACTCAGTGGTCTCGGTTCTGTGCCGTTCTGTGCCGCGGAGGATGGAACGGGCAGAGGTGGAGGCTCCCCTCCCCCACCCCCATACAACACAACCTACAAGCTGCTCTGGGTTCAGAAGCAGCAGCTTTCCTCCTTATCCGGGGTTCCCACTGGCCCAGGCCAGCCCGGTTTGGGTCTTGCTTCCTTTGGGTTTTGGCGGAGCCTGCCTGATGCTCGGGGCACTGGATTTTTTCTGAGTCTTTCTCATTTGACTATAGTTTCTTATCCATGGCTCTTACTGTCCTTCCGAGCCGCCTGTCATCCCCTTGCCGTTCGTCAGGCGTCTGGTTCCCTTTCTCTGCGTTCCCGAGGGATCCCTTCTGCCTTGTCCCTGGTGAGGGAGAGGGGCCCCAGCTCACCCTGGCTCTGTAGTGTCCTGTTCTTCACCATCTCTGTCCAGTTTTTTGGAAGTCACTTTTTCCGTTTCCAAGTGTTGTCTTTTCTTTTCATATTCGCTGCACTATGTCTTCTAATCTCACTAAAAACTCATCCTTCTTTTTATTTTTTATTTTGAGAGGACGTTCATTAAAGCTGGGGACAGTGAAACAGGAGAGGGCTTAGGGTAGAAGAAGCAGCAGGCGAGAGACTAGGCGGGGCTGCTTTGGCTCCATAGGAACTTTAGGGGAAACAAGGGAGCCAAGGCCGGCTGTCAGCTCACTGGAGAGTCAGAGACAAGGAGGCCTTGGATGCAGGTTCAGGGGTGAGCCCTGGATGAGCTGCCACTGCCCTTTGCTCCCTGGCTGCGAGTCGCATGGCACCCTTAGAGGTTAGGAGGTGCATGCCTGTGGGGGGAGAAGAGGAGGAAGGATGAGGCTTGGCATGCTCCCTGGAAGAAAAGTTCACACCGGATCCTGTGTTTTAAGGGTTTTAAAGGCTGGGAGTTTAGGAGAAGTCTTAGGGGGAGGATCTCTTTATTATTATTATTATTAATTTGAGAGAGGGGAAGATAGAAAGCGAAAAAGAAAGAGAGAAACATAGATTTGTTGTTCCACTTATTTATGCCTCCATTGGTTGATTCTTGTATGTGCCCTGGCTGGGAATCGAACCCGAAACTTTGGCATATTGAGAAGACACTCTAACCAAATGAGCAACCCGGCCAGGGCATAGGAGAGGGTTTCAACAGAATATTCATCAGATTTATGGTCATGTACCAAAATGAGATTAATTTCTTTTTATTTTATTTTTTATTTCAGAGAGGAAGGGAGAGGGAGAGATAGAAATGTCAATGATGAGAATCATTGATCTGCTGCCTCTTGCACAACCCCCACTGGGAAGTGAGCCTGCAACCTGGGCATCTAACCACAATCTCCTGGTTTATAGGTCAGTGTTCAACCACTGAACCACGTTAGGCCGGGCAAATTCATATCCTTGGGTGTGGTTGGTACAAACTGTACTAACTGGATTTCTGCTATCTATCTCTCTGAGGAGTCATTTAAGCTGTATTAGGAAGAAGTGTAAACTTACTCTTAGGTGTCGTTGGTTACGGACTATAGGATTTTGCGATTTACTAGCTGGCTGTAAACTGCTAGGTCATTTAAATATTTGTCTCAATTTTCCTCTTCTACTTCCCCTGACTTACTGACCTGTCTTAACTGGACCAGGTTTTCCTAAAGAGCTGAAGTCACCTGGTGGTAGCGCCGTGTGGAGTGTCCTCCTAACAGAAGCCATGGTACTAAGAAAGCTTGTTGTGTACCCTGCTCTGTGGGTGAAAAATCACTTTGAAAAAGTTTGCCCCTCCTGGGAGAAGGCAATGGCCACGTCCTCAGTTCCCAGTGTTCCAGGGGGGGCTCCCCTTCTTTGAAATGCTGATTCGCCTGAAAAGTGTGGACACACCTACACACAGGAGTACCTGCTGCAGGTGCCCAGCCCAGCTGCCAGGTCCTCTGAGCTGGAGGCCCTGAGGGGAAAGGAAGGCCCCCAGCACCGGGCAGGCAGGCCAGGCTGAGCCTCCAGGCTGAGCTGTGAGAGCAGCTACTCCTCCAGCGCTCCGGGCACCACGTGTTTTGAAGGGCATATGACACTGACTGTGTGCATCCCACTCTCACCGCTGGGCCCCCGAGCAGCCAGGAATCATGTCCTCCCAGGCAGGGCACCCTCAGTCCCTCCCCACGAACAACAAACAGGCTCTCTTCCGGGACTGCGTCCAACATGAGTTCCTCCTGCAGGCGTTTTCCTCACTGGACACTGGGAGTGGGGAGCTGTAATCCCAGGAGCCCAGCTACGAGCCTGAGGCTGTGCCCAGGGCCTCCCAACGTGGCAGCAGAGGGACGGGCATCAAACGGAGGGGCTATGCCTTCAGGAAGGGGATGTTCTTGGGGGGCTTTTCGGGGAACTGCAGGGTGTACAAGCGGGCCATGTACTGGAGCTCGGGCATGACCATCCGCTGACACATGCGCAGCGTCTCGTTGTCCAAGCCCTGCCTGAGGTTGTAGCCCACGATGCTGGCCTCCCCGGACTGGAACGGCTGCAGCCTGCGGTCGGTGATCTGCGTCTTGTTCTTGGGCGCGCTGTCCTGCAGGCACAGGGCTTCCAGCTCACGCCGCCGCGCCCGAAGCCTCGCCACCTCGGAGCGCAGTCGCCGCGGGCCCAGCTCGGCGCGCACTGAGGCCCAGAAGGTGCGGTTGAAGTGCTGGTAGAGGTGCCAGTCCAGGGCGCACCAGCGCTTGGCGCGCTCCTGGCCCTCGGGCGTCAGGCGGGTGACGGTGCGCTGGCTGCGCGAGTTGAGCTTGAAGGAGACCACGTCGTCCAGCCGCCAGCGCAGCCGGCGCCGCAGCAGCACCATGGACTCGTCGAAGTGCTCGGCGATGAGCACCAGCTGGAAGCGCTGCTCCACCTCAGCCAGGCGCGCGCGGACGTAGCTCTCCTCCACCGGCGCGTTGGGGTCGAAGCCCAGGTCGAACCACATGTGGTTCCGGGCGTAAGCGTTGCTCAGGTTCTGGTTGTAGTAGGTGTGCGGGGCCGCCAGGAAGGCGTCCAGGCTCGGGGCGGCCCTGAAGGCGGGCGCTTCGCGTCTGTAGTAGGTGAAGGAGGACTCCAGCTGGAAGATGGGGTTTCTGAGGATGGAAAAGTATAGAGTGTCGTTGGGCATCACTTTCTGCACCTGTGCGGAGACAGAATGAGGGCTGGTGACGCTCCAGGCTTCTTCCAGAAGCTCAGGGGGCAGGTGTCCTCACCCCCCACTACCACCACCCACTCCCCACTGCACACCTGACCCTGCCCACCACCTCTCCCACTGGCTTCCCTGCATCTCGTCCACGCTACCTTGCTCTCTTGACTGCCACTTTCCACGAGTGTCCAGAATGATCCTAAAACACTTGAACTTGGCCCTGCCCTTCCCCCAAACTCCCTCCACTTCCCCGTCTCTCTCCTGGAAGGGAAGTCAGGGAAGCCCCCAGGAGGAGGTGATCTCTAAGAATCTGAGACCCAAATGACCCACAAGAGGAGGTGTGAAGAGCATCACACTGAAGGGGATGACAGCACATGCAAAGGTCCTGGGGTGGGAAGACTGTGAGGGTTGGGAACAAGAGGAATCTGGAGAAGGAGTAGAAGGCGTGGGCAGCCTCCTGGTAGGCTGTGAGGGCACCCCTATCTGATTCCAAGAGCAGCTGCAGGCCACTAGAAGTGGAGGTTGGAGTGGCAGGGTCTTGCAATGGACAGCTACCAGCCCCCTCCAGCCAGGTCCCTGTACACACCCTACAGTCTCTCCAGTGGCCAGGCCTGACCCCTCCCCGCATGGTCATGCCACAAAGTGCCTTCAAGGCCTGCGGCTGAGTCCTGCCCCTCCATTACGCCCCATCTCCCACCTGCAGAGGGCACGCCCCCAGCCACACCTCGGGCAGGTTAAACCTCAGGTGGTTGCACATGATGTTGAAGTGCCGCTGTGGGCCATCCTGCTCCACGCCCTCCACGTAGCGCGCCATGAAGAGCCAGGGGTAGCCCAGGTGGAAGCGCGAGCCGGCTGGCAGCGCCACCGACAGGTTGTGCCCCTCAGCAAAACGGAAGAGGATGTTGAGCACCGTGCTGCTGGCGGTCTTGTGCGTCTTGAGAAACATGATGTTGGTGATGGGCAGCCCCTCAGTCTGGCCCCCGAGTAGGCTGGGAGGACAGCATGCTGCCATCAGTGAGGGACACAGCCCCCCCTTCACTCCCAACCGGAAATCCCCACTGGGAGAGACCCCAACCCAGCAAACCTCCCAGGTGCATGACCCAGCGACCCCCAACTACATGACCTCAACCCAGCAGCCCCCCAACCCACACTTCCCATAGTGGTGACATCCCAACCCTCTCAGCCTCATCACTGTGGTCCCTCTAACCTAGAGACCCCCCACCCTGCAGCCCCCAAGTACCCACTGGCACAAACATGATTCTCCCTAAGTGGCTGCATCATCTGCCCCTCATGTACTGCAGGCTGGACCCCTAGACGCTGGCACCCCTCTTGGCCCCCCAACTTCTTGTCTGGCACCTGGGGCACCTGACATGGTGCTGGCCCTGTGGTCTGAGCCATGTGTCTGGCATTTCTTGGCTGATCCTTCATAACAGGATGGGCCAACCTGACCGCAGGGCAAGAGTGGAGGCTGGTGCCCCCGCGGAGGATTCCAGCCGGGAGCAGCAAGGCCCCAAAGCAGGGCCAGTAAGAGGGACCCAGGATGGGGGAGGAGGGCAGGGTCCAGAGGCCTACACTGGCCCTGGGGACAGTGAGGAGGTGGGGGTAGCAAAGAGACCCAGGGACTTTGGCATTCCCCCATATCCCAAGGAGATCCAACCAATGTTGGCGGTAGGGGCAGGAGGAGGTGGCCTGGGGCCACAAAGCCCTCCCAGCAGCCAGGCTAAAGTGCTGGGCCTGTGTGGCCATCCCCATGGGCCCTGGGCTTCACAGAGGACATACCACTGGCAGGCAGGGAGCAGGGGCCTTGATCTCCCTGAACCTAGGCCCTAGCCCTGCCTCCCAGCACCTGGTCACCCTCTGCACACAGCAGCTCTTCCCAAGACACCCCCAGCCCAGGCCCAGGCCCCACCCTCCCAGAGTCCTCCTCACCGCCCAGAGGACTCATTGGGAGGGCCTCAGTAAGCTAATGGGTCCCAAAAGGAAGGGCCCACCCCATCTAGGAGATGTGACCTGCCCCAGTCACTGGCCGATGCTTGGAGATAGGCAGGCTGGGGCCCTGTACTGGTCTGGGAGGGAGAGCACCCAATGCAGCACTCACGGTGTGAGCATTTCCACATCCACATGCAGGAGGCCAACCAGCAGGAGCAGGAGCAGGGTCAGGAGGAGGAGGGTCCAGAAGCGCCTGTGGGCGGGGGAACCAGTGAGCCCCCAGTCAGGGGCACAGGAGGGACCAATGCCACCCACCCCACCCACCTCAGCTCAGCATCGTCCATGTAACAGCTCCTATTGAACCTAAGTGGCTATACCCTCTGCCCCTCATGTGCCACAGGCTGGGCCCCTGTACTGTGTGCCGGCCCGTGCAGGCCCTGGGTAGATGGATCATCAGACTCTGCTCCCCATTGGCCCCCTGCCACACTCCCCACTGCCCAAAGCCAGGGGAAGCCAAGAGGCAGAGCCCTTCTCTGGGAAGTGGGCAGGAATCTGACAGGTGGAGGTGAGAGCAGGTCAGCGGTCCCTGGAGACTGGCCTGAGACCCCTGAACTCACACCCCAGGGACACATCCTGGGTGGGGGCCGAGAGGTAGTACATCCTGGCATTCCGCCCCCCACAGAAGGGGAGGAGCCCCACAAAAGAGGACACTTAGAGGGCCCGCCTGGGTTCCAGGAACTCAGCAGGTGGGGTTCAGGCAGTAGTCCCTGGGCTGGGACACCCAAGGGAGACACGGTGACCAGATCAGGGAAGGGACGGGCTAGGACAGGGCGCCCCATAGTGTAGGGCTGTCCCTCACTGTCGTGATTGGCACCACCTCTCAGGACCTGTGAGTTAAAGGGCACAGAGCCTTTGTCCAGAGAGGACATGTGCAAGGATTTGTCCTGGAGTCACCACGTACCCCTTGACACCTGACCTGCTCTACCCCACTGAACTCATGAAACCCTCTCAGGGAAGCGGTGTGCTGTCCCCTGACACCTGCTGGTTGAACCCCTGCTGGGACGTCTGCCAGGCTGGTCTCCCTTACGACACTATCCAGTCAACATTTTGTTCCACCATAAAACTCCCTCCCACAAATACTGCAGTTTACCGACTCCTTGCAGAGGCTTTAATAAGATTCTGCCCACACTGACCATCTGTTTGCAACTTACAATAACCTCTTTGGCCTTGAGGCAGCATGAATGTGTCTCAGTTCTTCGCAGCTGCTCAGTGAGAACCAGGAAGTCTGTAGAGAACTCCCCGTTTCTAAAGAGAGGCTCTTCCTTGCCAGAAGAGCCTCTAGTCCCAACGCCAGCCGTGGGGTCAGTAGGGCTGTGGGGGTTGAAGTGACCTGGGAAGGCAGTGGCCACGGTGGGACCGGTGGTCAGCCCAGAGGGGCCACCAACCCTCGGGGCTGAGGCAGGGAGTCCCTCTCCGGCCTGTCCTGACACCACGAGTTGCTCATAGATGGTTAGTCTTTAACGAGAGCCCAGTGGTTGCACAAGGCTAAGTGGATGAATTGCTTGGTATGTGAATTACATGTCAATAAAGCTGTTTTTAAAAAAGCAAAATTTTAACATTTTTTAAATGACTCCAGCTGCTAAAAAAATTTTAAAGCCAATAATTGTGAGAAAAATTATGAAAAATAGTTGAAAAAGTGCCGGGAGCCGGTCCATCCTTGCTGTTTCAAGGGACCTGGCATATATGGCATACTGTTCTTAATATGTTTGCTCCCCTTAGCGCTATGTGTTTTAACCAAGGTCACCTCTCAAGAAAGGTTGTTTCCCAGGTGGGGATTTTCCCTGAGGTTAGGGAGGGGATACAACCCCTTAATTAAGTGCCAGGCGGGTAGTTAAGCTACATAATCTTTACTCCCTGGAATGGAGATAAGAAACGCCCTAACCTTTGTAATAGAAATTGACAGGATTAAAATCGGCTGGTATAAATACGGATGTAACAAGACAATAAACATCAGCTCCTCATCAGCTCCTCATCAGCTCCTCACCAGCTCCTCACCAGCTCCTAACCAGCTCCTAACCAGAACCTAGCCAGAGAACATGGCAAAAGATCCTGGACAGAACCTGGCTACAGAACTTCACTGGAGAACCTAGACAGAACATGGCAAAAGAACCTGGATAGAACCTGGCTAAAGAACCTGGTGACTGAACCTGGCTGGAGAACCTGGAGAACATGGCTGGAGAACCTAGCAAGAGAACATGGCACCAGAACTTGGTTGGAGATCCTGACCAGAACTTCGCTGGAGATCCTGGAGGGAGAACCTCGCTATGCTGATGAACTGAAACCAGTTTCCATGTCATTCCTTCTTCGCCTACTCCGTCCACACCTTTGGGGATCCCTGGACCCGTTGGGGTTGGACCCCAACAACTGGCGCCCGAACAGGGACCCTTAGGTAAGCCCCCCATTCCCATTGAGAACCCCCACACTCGGGACGGATAGGACTCCACCAGGGTGCTGCAGACCCCCCTATAGAGGATAAGTAGGGTAAGAAGGTGGATAGTACAGAACTTAGATTGAGAAGATGTGCCATACTGAGTCCAAAGAAAGAAGACTCTGTATTGATCTTTAGATTAAGAAGATGTGCCATACTGAGTCTAAAGAAAAAAGACTCTGTATTGATCTTTTACACATATGCTTGCTAGCAGAGGAGTTAAGGTTACTCCCAGTCAGACGGAATGTTTTATACAAGTATGTCCATGCTTTTCTGAGGAAGGAAAGGTGCCAGAAAGGTAAATGTAGAGGCATGGGAGAAGGTAGGCCCACGGAGCCTTATCCTTAACCCCACTGCAGCCTTTCCACCCCGGAAAAGTGCAGGATTGGAAAGCTCTCCCTGGGGTGATAGATCAGGACTCAGGTAATAGCGGAAAGTGCCAATCCTACTCTTAAAATGGATACAAGAGAGCATTTGGGGTTTTTCTTTTTAATGCCTGCCTTGGATTGAGTAAATGCATTACGTGCGTCACCACAATGAACCCAGAGAAGCTCCTTGTCCCATCGTTCCAAAGACTTAGAGTTGCTCCCATGACAGAAAAGCGGAAAAAAGAAGAAAAGAAAGGCTATGCAAGGGACTAAGGTGCCAACATGGGGTCAGCTGAAGAAGTTAACAACTGAGGCCCAACAGATGGTAGAAAAGCAAGAAGTGGAAGCTACTCTCTCAGCCAAGTTTGAGGACTCTGAGTAAATCAGCAAAAGAAACTTTCATTTAGCAGAAACTCACTTATTTTGTCAAATGGAAAGACTTACTTATAGGAGCCTGGAAGGGACCTGATGTACTTTTAACCTGGGGGAGAGGAGATGCTTGTATATTTCCACAAGATGCAGACTCACCTGTGTGGATTCCAGACCATCTAGTCCGACCTTATGTCACACCACCCTCCATCTCCGCCTCATCCTCCTCCTCCCCGGTATTATCCATATCGGCGGACCCAGAGGGCACAGCTGATTCCTCCCCGGACACTGACACCACCATCAAGCACCGCCCTGATGGACCCTTTGATGCAGCCCTTCAACTCGCTGACACTTCGGGAAGCCCACCACCAATGATGCTGCCCGTAGCCAGATCAACAGGACAACCAAACCACCGACTTGAGGACAGCTGAAATCCCTTGACTGAAGAGGCCAGCAACCTTCTACAGGAACAAGGCTCCTTGTGCACTCCATCCACTATGTTTATAGCTATGCTCGCTATCATTGCTTGTCAGTCTTCTTCTGAGTCTTAAACAACCCAATCCGAGAGGTGGCTGCTGATTTACATGCACTATCATTTAAAAAATAAAAAAGGGGGAATTTGCCGGGAGCCAGAAATTGACAGGATTAAAATCGGCTGGTATAAATACGGATGTAACAAGACAATAAACATCAGCTCCTCATCAGCTCCTCATCAGCTCCTCACCAGCTCCTCACCAGCTCCTAACCAGCTCCTAACCAGAACCTAGCCAGAGAACATGGCAAAAGATCCTGGACAGAACCTGGCTACAGAACTTCACTGGAGAACCTAGACAGAACATGGCAAAAGAACCTGGATAGAACCTGGCTAAAGAACCTGGTGACTGAACCTGGCTGGAGAACCTGGAGAACATGGCTGGAGAACCTAGCAAGAGAACATGGCACCAGAACTTGGTTGGAGATCCTGACCAGAACTTCGCTGGAGATCCTGGAGGGAGAACCTCGCTATGCTGATGAACTGAAACCAGTTTCCATGTCATTCCTTCTTCGCCTACTCCGTCCACACCTTTGGGGATCCCTGGACCCGTTGGGGTTGGACCCCAACAAAAAAGTATAAACCATGTGACCATGCTTCCAAGTGCCTTTAGCTGGAAGGGGCCACCTCAATCCCTGAGAACTTCACCACTCAAACACTTGTCTGTGGCACCCCCTTCCCTTTGGGGGTGGCCGCGTTGCTCAGGAGCCTCAAACTTCCTGCATTTGAAACTGAGAACAGGATGTGGCATTGGTCCAGTTCCACTGGGGCCAGTGGGGAGAGCGTAAGGCCCCCAGGCCCAAGCCCACGCCCCGCTGAGCCGAGGGCTGACCAGTGAGTGCCCCAGGTGAGGCCATTCCCAGGTTGCTCAGGAAGAATTCCTGGCATCTGGTAACAACCAATAAAAGATATAAAATTGTGAGCAGTAAACAGTCAAGACAGCCAGCATATCAGCAAGATTCACAATGGTTTTATATCCAGGATTCCACACACCCCTGCAGGCCCACCTGACCAGCTCATGAGAAATGGACAAACATTTGCCTCTGCGGGGTTATAAAAGGACATGGAACCAAATGTCTGCCATCAGTCAGTGGTCAGCCAGTGTTAGCTGGAATCTAGAAAAACAACACCCAGCCTAATCTCTAATTTTGGAGGGTGATCTTACAAATCACCCCCAAAATCCAGCACTACAGGTAGAAGAATCACACACATACACACATACACATACACACATACACACACACACTCACACACACACACACACACACACATACACACACTCATACACATACACACACTCAAATACACACACTCACATACACACACTCACATACACACACCTACACACACTCACACACACACCACACACATATACACACACTCATACACACACATACACACACTCATACACATACACACACTCACATACACACACTCACATACACACACCTACACACACTCACACACACACCACACACACCACACACATATATACA